ACTTCTTCCTGTGCCCGTCTCTCAGCAGGTGTGGGAGGTGGCGCGTTTGGAGGAGTGAACAGACATGGCCCGGGAGAACAAGGGCCAGCCCTGTGCCTCAGCCCCCGGGGACTCTGACTGACAGCTGACAGCTGTCGATGGCTGAGGGATGGGTGAGGGAGGATCGAGGGAAGCAGATTGGCAGCCGAGGGATGGGTGATGGATAGACAGGGAGACGGTAGAGAGACAGTAGAGACAGACCTGATACACGGACCCAGGAACGGCGAGTGACAGGTAGACTGATGAGAGATCCTGAACGTGGTTTCTTGTGTTTTTATCCAGCTCATATATTAGATCGGGGCAATATTTTCTCCAGTTCACTTGATGACAGCGCATCATTTATTGTGCTCTGTCTCTCGGAGGACCTGAGGTGGAGCAGAGAGTGAGGACTGGTTTTCCCTGTTTTTCTGAGCCTCCCAAACAGTGATCAGATAACCAGGACAACAACTGGCGATTCTCAGCCAAAAACGCAGCTCAGTGTGGACACCCAGCGTGGGGTCAGATTGGACACCCAGATGAGTCCATGCAAGCACCCAGGGTGGGGTTGGTGTGGACACCCAGGATGGGGTCAGTATGGACACCTAGAGTGGGGTTAGTGTGGACACCCAGGATGAGAGTGAGTGTGAAGACCATGGTTGGTAAGTGTGGACACCCAGGGTGGGGTCAGTATGGGTACCCAGGGTGGGGGTCAGTGTAGACACTCGGATGGGGTTGGTGTGGACACCCAGGGTGGGATCACTGTGAAGAACAGGGTGGGGTTGGTGTGGACCCAAGATCGAGGTGCTGCTCAGGCCCTATGCTTCTGGGAGGCCCTTGGCCCAGGTGTGGTGGGGGGGGACGTGAGCCCGCATGCAGGACTGCTCCCTGGCCACCAACTCTGGCCCCAGGAATGGTTCCTTCTCCCTAGGCTGCTGCCCCATGGCGCCCATCTGCCAGCACCAGCCCCTGCACACAGCCTGTGTGTGCTGAGAGGTACTGAGGCCCAGGGGTACACAGGGCTGGAGGGAGCCCAACCCTTCCTTCCTGCAGACCCAGTGGTGTCCTTGGAGTGACAGTGGCCTCCAGCGGTCAGTCTGAGCCCCGTGGGAAGGAAGGGGCTGTTTTCCCGGTGGCCAGAAACCAGGTGATTGGATTCCCCGCACCTTTGGCAACAGGTGTGGGTGGAAGGGCCTGGAGCTAGAGCCACACATCGGGCCGAGCTCTGTCCTTGGGCCCCCGACAATCTCCCAGCTGCTCCCGCCCTGCACTGCGAACAGGCATCCCCAGAGGCTATGTGGGAGAAACTCCTGGCCCACCAAAACTCCTGCGGCTCCAGCCCAGACACGCACAGGGCCTTCCCCTGAGCTCCTGTGTGCGGCTCAGAGCCCTGTCCTGGCGTGCATGCCAGGGCGAGGGGCATTGCTGAGTCCTCCAGTCCCACGACGCATGGCTCATCAGGATCTGCTGTAAAACCTTAGTGCGGCTGGGAGCGCCAAGGATTTAACTCAACACTCATTTGGAATTTAGATTTAGAACATTTCACATAAAAAAAGATAATCAATGTCACTTTTGAAGTGAGTAACGTTTGCGTCTCGTGGCAGACGGTGCATGCTCCCGCTCGGGGCTTGGGCTATGTGGAGTTGACACTCAGCTCTTTGGTCTTTTCCTCTCTGTCCTGAGCTCAGGGAACTTAGAGCCGAACATCTCTTGGGACGGGGTTCGCTGCTGGCTGGGTTCCCCTGGCTGGAGGCAGGCGAAGGGTGACTCACGCGGCCTGGATGCAGGGAGCCTGGTGTGCACAGCCCACTTCCCCACATCTCTTGGGCCCACTTAGCGTTGTCTCAGGACGAGGATTGTGTCCCGGAAACTTGGACTTAATTTCCGAGCCTGTTTTCCCAGGAGGGTGGACTGTGCGGATTGTAGGGGCGGCTTCTGCTGGGCCTTAGTTCGGGTCTGAAGCAACCAGACATGGGGGGATCCTGCAAGGGGCAACGGCCAGAAGCTGGTGGTGAGCTGTCAGTGCTGAGCCCTCACTGGCCCTCAGTCAGTCCTCAAAGTGCAGACCACGAGGCTTTCTGCGGAAGTTAATGTGGAAGCATCTGAGACTGCAATGCGGTGGGCTTGGAGCTCATCCCAGCCCAGACCCCGAGGCCCCGTGGATAGGCACTGGCGACCTGGTGTGGGCGGGGCCCCGTGAGGCCCAGCAGAAAGTGGGGACACCTCAGGGAAAGTGTAGGGCCACAGCCACGCTGGGGGGGCCCCAGTCCTGGGTCAAGCCGGAATGAAACCTTGGCCTGAGAGCTGAAGCATCAGACTGTCCTGTGGCCGAGTTTAGACTCTGTGTCCCAGCGGCAGGGCAGAGCCTCGCCATGCTGGGCAAGCGGGTCCCAGGGAGCCCCAGGGGTGGCATGACTCTGAGTGCTGGGAGCCCAGATGCAAGTATCCAGGTGCTGGACTCCACCCCAGGCACTGGGACCCTAGAACTGTACCTCCAGGTGCTGGGACCCTGGACACAGGGTGCTTGGGGAATAGCAACCAGGTGGGATGTCAGTTTGGGGGGCAGTGAGAGGCACTTGCGCCTCTACTAAGAACCTCTCCTGTCTGTGCCCCAAGAACGGATGGTGGTTTATGCGCCCACATGGCCACCTGTCACCCTGTCCCTGAACTCTGCGCCCAGCCCGCGCCTTGGCACAGCCACGGGCACCATTCCAGGCCTCTGTCCTTGGGGGTGGGATTCCTGGTGGAAGACACCAACCTGTGGGTGAGGCAGGGACAGGCCACGTGCAGCTCCTAGCTGGCCTGTGTGTGTGACGTTTGTACATGAGTTTAGCCAAGGGGAGTGGGGACAGCCCCAGGGTACAAGGGAAACCCCCTGCTGGGGCTGAAGGCTCTTCACTGGCTGCATCTCCAGGACTCCTTTTTGGCCAAAAATGGGAAGGTGGGTACATTTACACAGTGCTCAAATCCCTCTCTTTGGTCTCCCTTGAACCACAGTCCTCTGATCTCCAGCCCAGCAGCCGCCCTCTGTCCTCTGTGACCTCAGAGCCGACCAGCTGTCCACTGTCCCCAGGACTTAGTGTCCACCCCCATATGGCCAGTGTGTCTGTCTGCTGTGTGCTACCTGTCACCCTCATGCTCTCTCCTCCTGGAAACGTATGTGTCAAATCTCGTGGGTTGTTCCACGTCTCTGTGTATGAACCAAGGAGAAGAGATGAGATTGAGATGGAATATTTGTTGTTTCCGTTCCCTGATTCCATTCTGACCAGCCTCGTGCGGATCCTTCCGACAGGCCATGCGGCGGCCGTCTCCGTGGCAACCGGATTTAGTTAGAAGCACACGTTATATTTCAAACAGATGAAAACAGCCGCCTTTGGCTTCCTGCTAAAGCCGGTGTCCTTGCCAGCTGATGAGTAGGCTGGCAGGAAAGCCAAGCCTGAGTGTGCCAGCAGCCCTGCGCGGTCCGGGAGACCCTTTGAACAAGCTGTGAAAGCACTTAGCCCCATGCACTTAGCAGATGGAAAGCATGGATCTAGCACTGCCTGGATGGATGTGGCACTGAGATCACACACACACACAGACACACACACACACACACACACACATGTACACACACCCAGACACGCACACATTCATGGGTGCACACACACACGCTCAGACAGACCCACACATGCACACACATCCACACAGACATACATACACAGACATATAGACAGGCACACACACATGGGCACACGCACACAAAGACACACTCACACACATGCTCAGACACAGATGCACACACAGACACACACAGACATACACACACACAGGCGCGTGCACACACAGACACACACATGCACACACACAGACACACTCACTACTCAGAACCAGGGACCACATGCTCCTGTGAAATTAAATTCTCCCACAGCTTTACAGGGCAGCTAATGGGACCTCACTCAAGACCCACTTTCCTAGCAGTGTGCCCTGAGCTGATTGGACTAGAGAGGTGCCAGTCTGCCGAGTTGCAGGTGGCAGTTCCAGAGGTGTGTGCAGGTATGAGCTGGCCTGCTCACCTGTGACCATATCCACAGTCCCCAGTGCTAGACTGGGCCAGGCTGTGTCACAGAAGCCCCCAGCCCTGCGGCAGTGCGGGCAGAGGCCCAGGCCGAGGAGGCTGCCCGGGAGCCCGCCTCGTGCCCTCCCATGGACCAAAGCCTCACAGCTGCCTACCATGACTCCCCAATGCCACTGCCACTACCCAAGACCTACTGGAACACAGCACAGTGACTGAAGGGCCCCAAGGGAGGTGGGGACAGCAGTGATGCAGGGAGGGCAAGCAAGGCCTTCCCGGCAGCAAAGTGCTCTGAGGTGTGTGTTGGGCACCCTGTGGGGGACAGGCTGGGGGTCTGTGAGCCCTATGGGGAACAGACCAGGAGACAGGGCCCCCTGTGGGAGACAGTTCAGGGTCTGGGTGTCCTGAGGCATATAGGGCAGAGGGAATAGCTCTGCCATGGGGGACAGGCCAGGGGTCTGGGAATCCTGGTGCCATAGGAGCTGCTGTCCAGTGGCCAGCATGGCATAGTGCCTTTGAACTCTCTGCCATGTGAGGGGGTGTGGGCCTGCACCAGGGGTGTCTGTGTGTGGTGACCCTGTGTGACCATGTGTGCTCAGACATGGCTGTGTAACCAGGAGTGACTGTGACTAGGCGTGGTCATACATGATTGTGTGACCAAGTGTGACTTGTGTGACTAGGCCCACGATCATGTGTGATTGTATGCTCAGGCATGGCTGTACGTGACCAGGCATGGTCATGTGTGATTGTATGATCAGGTATGGCTGTGTGTGACCAGGTATGGTCGTGTGTGATTGTATGACCAGGCATGGCTGTGTGTGACCAGGTATGGTCATGTGTGATTGTATGATCAGGCATGGCTGTGCGTGACCAGGCATGGCTGGCATGTGCCCTCCCAGGACTCCAGTGTAACTCTGTTTTTCTCTTTCAGAGGAAGAGGCCGGGGACTTGACACAGACGGGCATCAGCTTCCCGGGGCCAACCGAGGAGGACCTAGGTACAATACCAGCATTCCCCCCACCCCTCCTGGAGCTGGGGACCCCCTGCCTCGCAGGGCATGATGCCTGAGCTTGGCAGTGGGTCTGAAGCAGGCGTGGGATGACTCGACCTCTGTAAGGGGAAGTGCAGGAGGGGCTCCTATGTTTGCACACCTGCCTCAGGGGCCCCAGGGAGGAAGCAGGAGCCTGGGTGATCCACGCAGCAATGAGATCAGCCACCACGTCAGCTGGTGGGTCTGAGCCCCCTGGGGCCAGACACGACTGAGTTCCACAGACACACAGGCACACACACACACACACACACACACACACCGGATAGACATGCATAGACCCACACAGACACACCCATACACACGAACACAAAGTTACACAGACACACACATGCACACAAACACACAAGTGGCAGATAGACACATGCAGACCCACAGACACACCCATACACACAAACACAAAGTTACACAGACATAAACAGGCACACACCCAAACACACAAGGGATAGACACACGTAGAACCACACAAACACACCCACACCCATACACACGAATACAAAGTTACACAAACACAGGCACATACAAACACACAAGGGATAGATAGACACACATAGACCCACACAGACTTACCCATACACACAAACACAAAGTTACACACACAGACGCATTCACAAACACACGAGATAAACACATGCAAAAGACATAGATATACACAGACACAATCATACAACAGATACAAAGTTAAACAGACCCACACAGCCACATACATAAACAACAAAGAGATAGACACACAGACAATCTTCCACACACACTCATAAAAAGACATGTACACATAGACACACACAGACGCATATACACACACAGTAACCCCACAGGCATCTCTGCATGCTGAGTCAGCCCCAGAGCGAGTGGTGGTTATAAAACACGACTATATTTACTGAATGTAATAGAAAAGTGAGTGGGTGTTTATGTGGAACATAAAATTGTTACACACTGTAAAACACGCATTTTCTATAAGAAGTCATACTTCTAAGTGGGACTGTGACCAGCTTCTGTTCACTGAGCTTTCCTGCACCGGCCCGAACTCCTACCTGCCAGGTCAGGGAGAGGGCTCACCTTGAGCTGACTCCACTTTCCTTCCCCGTTAATTTTCTGCAGGAATAGCATGGCCCCCGTCCCATGGGAATAGACTGAGCTCAGATAAGTGATGGTTCATAGACATCAGGGAAGGTCTGGTCCTGGCGATGATGAGCTATTGCGGGGATGGCTAGTGAGTGATTGGTACATGTGTCAGCCTCCTTTGCCGTCCATGATAATGAGGGAAGTGGAAGTGCTCTGCCCGTGCTTTCTTGGACACTGGGGCATGCCATGTGCCCATGCGTGGGACATAGGTACTTACTATCCTGCCCGCAGGCACAGGATCTGTCTGGCTGCCCTAGGAGACTCAGTGCTCCAAGAAGCAGAGCTGTGTAACTTCTGAGGCGTCAACTGGTGGTTTGGAGGGATGAGAGGATGGTAAAGGGCCATGTGTGGGGTCCTGCCCGACTCCTGTGCAGTGGTGGCTGTCGAGGCAAACGTCTGGAACATGGTGGCTGGGAGCTGGAGTCCCACACAGGGTTCGATGAAGAGAAAGGGAGCCCCACACAGAGTTCCAGAGAGAGAGAGAGGAAGCCCCATGCAGGGTTCCACAGAGAGAGACACAGCTGTACCGCTAGCAGAACCACTACCAACTCCTCCACTTTATTCATCTCCAACCTTCCTCCTTTTTCATCCCCCAACTCCCACCTGTTCCCATCACATCATCTCTTCTCTCACTGTGCCAGGACTGGGACTGCCAAGTGGGTCCCTGGGTACATGGTGAAGGACCACCAGCCTCTGCTCCAGCCAGCACTTGGCTCTGAGGGGAGCCCCAGAGCCTCAGGGCTATGGATTGCCCTGTACCCCACAAAGATACTGTCTCCAGGGCCCTTCTGTTCTGCTGTGGCTACATAGTCGGGCCCAGACTGGGTTTCTGGCTAGGCACCCATGGGCGAGAATGCTGCGTGTGACTGCTGTCTCTCCATGGGGCGGCTGGAGGCTGTGGTGGCCACGTGGCTCCTGGGCGCTTGTCTCTACACAGTCCCGGCTACCGGAAAGCAGCTTTGCTAGCAGTCTGCATGGTTCTCCACACACACACACACATACATGTGCTCACACATGTGTGTGCATGTGGGAAGTCTCAGCCCAGCACCAAGGTCTTCCCACACCTCCACTGGCTCTGACTGACCTGGGACAGGCCACATCCTCGGGTTGTACCACACAGCCTGTCTTCCACCTCCCCCTCACCACCACTCCGCCCCAGGCCTGTGACGTGCACTGCCGCGCTATCCCAGGTTCATGTCAGAGGGTTTCCCTGGAGGTGTGATGTATTCGGAGAACTCATCATTTACCTCTCACTGGCCTGGGAATGAAGAAGTCAACACGACCTAAAACATGTCAGTGACTTCTGATTCCCAATTTACATTTGCTTATGAAGTAATTCTCAAAACAATCCCCCTGTGTTTTGGAGCGGGCGCTCTGCCGTGTTTGAGAGCCAGACATTTGTAAAAGGCTGTTCAGAATGGAAGTATAAGATAATCCCTCTGATCCACGCAAGTAAGATAAACAACTGCAGGTTGGAGCTCAGTCCTGAGCCCATCAGACACTTGCCTGGCAAGCAGCTGCTTCTGGCCATGCCACTGTGTCCCCAGGTCTGATGTATGTTCTCCTGAGTGTGGCCTGGGGTCACCCCTGGACACCATCACCAATGGCCCCCGAGCATGGCAGGCAGTGCCCAGAAAACAGGGCAAAGCTAAAAGCCATGGCTGTGAATTAGAGTATTTTTCTGATTTGTATCAAGAGCATTTCAAGGGAAAGGGACTCAAGAAACAACCATGGTTACTTCTGTGAACTTCAATGTGTATTTCGTGAGGCAGGTTTTCTCACACAGGCCATATCTGAAGTGACTTTTTGGCCTCACGAGTTATGGGATTAGATTTAGAGCTGATAGCAATTTTCTTTTGTACTTTGAAAGTCATCATTTTGAGGGGTAGAATAAAGAGCTGGTTAAAAGCTATTTTTTAGCCCATAAATAAAAAGTCATTGTGTAATTAAGTATAATTAGGCTTCAAGTGTGCTCACCAAAAATGCGTAATTGAAAAGAGAAAGAAGTTCTGAAAGGAGCTGAAGGGTTTAATGCCCTCCTTGTGTTCACATTATCTACCAAGGCGCAGAGCTGTGAAAGCATCTTCGAAAGGACTCTGGCACATGGGGAGCTGGGGTAAGACGGCTTGTCTGGGCCTGCTCTAGGCGGCTGACCAGAGCCTCGTCCAGGTCTGAGTGTGAGGCGGGGATGCACAATGAGGAACCACTCCTAGGTCCTGATGTCCATGGGGTGTGGGCCTGAGCTGCATGCAGATGGGTGGGTGTCATGTGCGTACATGTCACATCCCCCTCAGAGGGGACATCACTCCTGTGTGATCGTTACCAGCTTGGAAGCTCGGGGTTGTGGCCCCGAGTGCAGTCACTTGACTGAAATGAACTTAAATTGATTTACGGTTGATAATCAGTCTCATCTGTCCCTGGACTACGCAGGGCCGGGGCCTCTGGGTCGAAGGGGTTGTGTGTGGCAAACGTCGACCACACCCTGCTCTAACCGTGCTGACCTTCCCACATCTCTCCAGGCACTATCTAGCAGAGACCCTTGGCCAGCAGGAAAAACAGGTGCGGCCTGGGGCTCTCTGTGCTCCATCCCAGTTTCTATGCTCTGTCTGTGTGTGGTCCAGGAGGGCAGCCACAGAAGCCAGGGTGCTGGGTGATGCTCTACCCTCCTCCTGGGTTCTGCCACTAGCAGAGGAACAGAGAGAAAGGTCTTCTTGGCGCCCATACCCTGTGGTGCAGGAACAAACCCCCAGACTGAGCTCCGTAGTTTTCCAGGCACTTGGCTGTGCCTCAGGGACCACGAGTGGCAGCTGGTGGCTCACCAGCCCATGTCCTCCAGTGCTGTGGGTGGCTGGCCAAAGCCCTGCACCATGCAGCTAACCAGTGGTAGGACGTGTGCTCTCCCAGGTCTGAGGGACACATATGTCTCCCATGTCTGAGAGACTGAGGGACACCTGTGTCTCCCAGGACTGGGACTGAGGGATGCATATATCTCCTGGGTCTGAAAGTCTGAGGGACTGAGGCACACATGTGTCTCCCAGGACTGGGACTGAGGAACACATGTGTCTCCTAGGTCTGAGGGACTAAAGGACACATGTGTTTCCTGGGCCTGTGGGATTGAGGGACACATATGACTCTTGGGTCTGTGGAATACATGTGTCTCTTGGGTCTGAGGAACACATGTGTCTCCTGGGCCTGAAGGCCTGAGGGATGTGTGTCACCTGGGTATAAGGATCTGGGAACTGGGGATCATAGATCTCCTGGGAATGAGGGGCCAAGGGAAGCACCTTTCTCTGGGAATGAAGGACTGAGGGCCCGAGGATCTGACGGGCGTGTGTGTTTCTCAGGTCTGTGGGTTCTAGGGATGCGTGTGTCTCCTGGGAGTGAAGGGCTGAAGGACTGAGGGATGTGTGTATCTCCCAGGACTGAGGGTCTGAGGGACATCTCCTGAGTCTGAGGGATGGAGGGACAGGTGTCTCCCAGGTCTAAGGGACATATTTGTCTCCCAGGATGAGGGACTGAGGGACATGTGTGTCTCCTGGAACTGAGGGATGCCTGTCTCCTCTGATTGTCACCCGTTGACAGCCACAGCCACGCTTTCAGTAGAGCTGGGGGTGCCTCCATCTGTGCAAACATTCAAGTGAGGTCTCTGTCCTGGAGCCCCTACCCGCCCCCCAGGGGCTCAGACCAGAAGGGAGCCCCCACAGGGGGGCGGGGGGAGTGAGCAGGGCCTGGGGCCGGTGCTCGTCTCAGCGGTGGCTCTGCTCTCTCCTCAGACCAGAGCTACTCATGGTCGCCGTCACCCCACTTCAATGAGGAGCGCTGTTCTCCCGCACCCAGGAACATGAAGGGCCTGGCCCCCGGCCGGAGCCCGCCCCAGCTGTGCTCCAGCCACACGTGTGGCCTGGCGCCGCCGGAGGACTGTGAGCTGGCCCACGACCACCTGCACCATGTGCCGGAGCCCCGCACGCCCTACCTGCTGAGCCCGAGCGACAGCTGCCCGCTGGAGCACCGCTGCTCGCCACGCAGCTCCGTGCACTCCGAGTGCATGCTGATGCCCATGGCGCTGGGCGCCCACGTGTCCAGCAGCACCTTCCCCCGGATGCACTACAGCTCCCACTACGACGCGCGGGACGACTGCGTCGGGTCGCACGGCAGCACCACCAAGATGAACCGCCTCCCGGCCAACCTGCTGGACCAGTTCGAGAAGCAGCTGCCGCTGCACCGGGACGGCTTCCATACGCTGCAGTACCAGCGTGCGCCCGCCGGCCCCGAGCAGCGCAGCGAGAGCCCCGGCCGCATCCGCCACCTGGTGCACTCCGTGCAGAAGCTCTTCACCAAGTCCCACTCGCTCGAGGGCTCGTCCAAGGGCCACGCCAACGGCACCAAGGGCGGCGGCCGGGTGGACGAGCCGCCACCCGGCCACCACAAGCACAGCAAGCGCAGCAAGAGCCGCGAGCGGAGGCCGGAGAGCAGGAGCAGGACGGGCCTGAGCAGCTGGTGGAGCTCGGACGACAACCTGGACAGCGACGGCACCTACCGGCCCCCCAGCGCGGCCCCCCGCCACCACTCCGACCGCCTCTCCCGCTGCTACCCCGAAGCGCTCCCCAGCCCCTTCGGGGAGCTCTCGCTGAGGACCTCCAAGAGCAACAACGACGTCAAGTGCTCGGCCTGCGAGGGCCTGGCCCTGACGCCGGACGCCAAGTACCTGACACGCAGCTCCTGGTCCACGCTGACCGTCAGCCAGGCCAAGGAGGCCTACCACAAGAGCTCCTTGAACCTGGACAAGCCGTTGAGCCACGTGGACCTCAAGCCAGCCCTGAGGCCATGCCACTACCTCCAGGTGAGTCTGCGGGGACAGCCCCGGGTGCTCGGGGTTGCACCCCCAACTCCCTCCTCTTCAGGACTGTGGGTCACGGCCAGGCGCTGGCACCAGCCGAGGAGCCAAGTGGTTTCCATATACACAGGCCGTGGGGCAGCCCAGGGGACACTGGCCATGTCCTTACTGCTCAGGCTTATGGGCCCAGGGGCCACCAGCCACACCCTGACCGCCCCACACCTGCAGGCCCAGGGGACACTGGCCACGCTCTAGCCACTCGGCCTCACACCTGCAGCTGCCGAGTCCCATAGCAGCCCTGGAGGATATGCCCGTGCCTCCTGGGTATACTGGGAACCTCCCAGGGCAGCAGTCTTGGCCGTGGGTGTTAGAGGGGACATGGAGACAGTGTCCACTGTGGGTCATCCCTCTGTTGTTAGGTTCCTGGCTGGACATCAGCAGGCTTGGAGGGATGCATGGAGGAGGGTGCAGGTGGAGGTTACAGGGAGGCGCACAGGGGAAGGGTGCAGGGGGAGATTACAGGGCCGAGGGGTGCATGGAGGAGGGTGCAGAGGGAGGGTAGAGGTGGCAGGTGTGGGTGAGCGGTGCAGGAGGAGAGTATGGGGGTAGAGGTGGGGGGGTATGGGTGGGAGCTGCAGGGCGAGGGTACAGAGAGAGGGACAACAGTGAGGAGTACAGGGGAGGGTGCAGGTCGAGTCTGTGTGAGAGCCCCGTGGACAGAGGCCAGTTCCCACATGGCAGGAGCACCTCAGGTCACAGCATACCTGTGTCCCCATGTCCTGTCCCACCTTGTCGCCAGGGGCCTTCAAGACTGTGGCATAGCAAAGCTGCCCCAGGGAAGGCAGGGGCGGGGTGAACAACTTTACTGGGCTCAGGGGATGGAGGTTCGTCCACCACCACCACCACCACAGTTGCCCGCCCAAGGACCCGAGAGACTGGTTGGCTCTTCCCAGAAGAGCCGTCCTTCCCCCCTCCCCCCTGCACTCTCCCCTGCAACCTTCCCCTTACTCTCTCCCACAGCAGCCCTCCCCCTGCACCTTCCCACCTGCACCCTCCCCCCATTCCCTCCCCCTTGCACCTCCCTCTCCACCCTTCCCTCTCCCCCCTGCACCCTCTCTCACTTGCCCTGATCTCTCACCTGCACCTCCTCCGTGCACCCCCCCACCTGCTGAGCCCACAACTGACCTGACCATGGTAATCAGGGTCAGAGTCTGGTGCCCACCCACCCTTGTGTCTCGTCAGGGGACACTCCTCATTGCCCATCCCGAGTCCTCGTATCCCGGCTTCAGTCCTGGCAAGCCACGGAGGCCTGTGTCCAGGGGCCTCCACCGCCTCTCTGCCCCTGGTGCTGCCCAGCACGGCCTGACGCCCTCAGCTCCTTCACTGAGCCTCACTCACACCCATGCCCAGAGCCACCGGGGGCGGGCGGGCGGGCCTGCGGCCACCCCGAGGCAGGCGCGGGCTCCTTCCAGCCGGGGAGGGTCCTGCCTGCTTCCACCTGCCACAGGTGGGCCAGCCGCCTGCCAGGTGGGCCCGTGCCAGGCCATCGCTTCCCGAGTCCACAGCACCTGCAGCCGGCACCGGCCCACGGCCCCTCTCAGACCACGCGCTCACGTGAGTGCGGCGGCTCCCACCCAAGGACCCCCAGACGCGGCTGCCCCAGGCCGGGGGGCTCGGCACGGCGCTGCTCTCTCCGTTCCCGCTGCCCAGGTCCCGGCCCTTTGACTCCGGGGGTCAGTGTGTGGCCGCGGGGCTCACTCGTCCTTCCCGCCCCTGCAGCTCGCCTTGTGCCCGAGGAGAAGCTCCGTCAGACAGGCCTGCCCTGCCCGGGCTGACCTGCGTGTGCTCCCCAGGTGCCGCAGGACGAGTGGGGGGGCTACCCCCCGGGGGGCAAGGAGGAGATCCCGTGCCGGCGGATGCGGAGCGGCAGCTACATCAAGGCCATGGGCGACGAGGAGAGCGCCGAGTCCGACTCCAGCCCCAAGACATCGCCCACGGCGGCCGTGCGGCCCGACGCCCTGCTCACGGCCGTGCCGAGACCGCTCACTGACCTGCAGACGTAAGAGCGGGCCCCTCTGCCTGCCCAGCTCTACCCTGGGGGTATCGGGCACCCCCTCCCCCCGAGCAGGGGCTCTGAGCCCCAGGCCTGGCCAGGCAGAGTGGTCCAGGTCTCCAGCCCCCTGCCGTGTATCCCACACTCCTGAGCGTGGGGCAGGCTCAGTCCCCCAACCCTGCAGGGGCCCCTTATGAGGAGAGCTCAGAGGGTTCGCATGTGCCCGGTCAGGGCTCCTGGCTAGACAAGTGGTCAGGGCTCTCCTGCACCCCCCCGCCAGCCATGGCACAGCAAGCATGGCCCCACACGTGCCTGTTCCTGGCCAGGCTCCCACATGGAGGCACATGGGCCCATCTGCTGCCCAGGCCAGCCCTGACCCGCACCTGCCCGCCTAGGCCATCCCCAACCCACACCTGCCCCCCCAGGCCAACCCTGACCCATACCTGCCCCCCATACCTACCCATGTCTTACAAGGTGCTTCCTCCTGCTGCCCCCATGCCCATGCCTGGTCCTGCCCAGGCCACCTGGAACCCTCAAGGGAAAATATCTGGCTGTCTTGTCCCGTGGACCTGTGTGCAGTGAACATGCAATGTGGGCTCGTGTGCGGTGAACATGCACTTGTGGACGCGTGTGCTGTGAGTGCTCCTTGCTCCTGCTGTGACTCAGGGCAGCCCTGGTAGGCACAGCCCCTGCTCCTGGCTGCCCCCAGCCTACCACACCCACACCCCCCCCTCTGCACTCCCAGGGCTCGCAGTAGTGCACAGGGGCAGCCACTCTGTCCTCTGTCACAGACACCCCGCAGCACTTGTCCTGACTCACTCACTGTCCACCGCTCCCCGCTCCAGCTGAGACTCGAGTGTCCAGACTCAAGCAAGTCCCCTTGGACCCTAAAAGCCAGGCTTCCGATGCCAGCCTCACATGGTCACAAACACACACACACACACGTATACTCACACACACATTCTCTCTGTCTCTCATACGTGCACTCTGTCACACACAGATCCACATTCATACGCACTCCCGTAACACATGCTGATCACTCACACAGTACTCCTGCGCCCTCACACATACACTCATGCACACATACGTTCGCACTCACACACATTCTTGCACACACATAAATTCACACTCACATTCTGCTGACACATAAACACTGATCACACACATACACTAAGGCACACACTCTCTTGAGCTCACATTCACACAAATCTGCACTCACTAACACACGCTAATCACACATTTGCACACTCACACATACCTACACTCATGCATACATACTCTTGGACTCACACTCATACACACAAACCCATACAGACATAACACTGATCACACATTTGCACACTCACATATACACTCATGCACACATATTCTCTCACACACATGCTCTCGAGCACACTGATACAGGTGTATCATACATGCAAACGCACTCACACTCGCACATGGCCATCTTGCACACTCACCCACTCCTAGCTGTCCCCTATCCCTCCCCTGGCCCTGGGCTCTGTACAGGACCCTGGGGACTTGCCGGTGTCTGGCGAGGATGGAGAATGTTTCTTTTGGCGTCTCAGAAGGACGGGCTCCATGTCTAGTGTTCAGAGATGATGATGACTGGGCTGCTCTGTGGAGCCTGCGGTGCCCTTCCTCACCTGCCCCCCTCACCTGCCCTCTCTCACCTGCCCACTCACCTGCCCATCCTCACCTGCCTGCTCACTTGCCCTCCCTCACCTGCCCCACCGCTCATCTGCCCTCCCTCACCTGCCCCCACTCACCTGACCCCCCTCACATGGCCTCCCTTACCTGCCCGCTCACCTGCCCCTGCTCACCTGTCCCTGCTCATCTGCCCCCCCCACCCACTCACCTGCCCCCGCTCACCTGCCCTTGCTTGTGGCAAATGCAGCTGAGGAGCTTGTGCCGTGTCCAGAGCAGCCTTGCTCCCCTCTGATGGTCCCTTCACAGGGCACAGAAAGGATGCGCCCGTGGTGGGGGAGGGGGGTTGTCCCGTGCCCCCAGGATCCTCTGGGACACAGTTGCCTTCACTTTCAGAGCTTCCAGGCGGGCACTGGGCTCCTCCGTGCATGTGTGGCTTTCCCTGTGCCCATGGCCAGTCACTTAGCGTGGGGGAGGTGGGGCCCTACAGACACCCACTTAACTGCCTCCACACCAACTTTACTTGTGCCACTGGGAGGTCGGTGAGGACCCATGGAACAGGCAGGAATCCACAGGGATGAAGGATCTTCAGGGATCTATTGGGGCAAAACCCAGAGGGATGGGGGATCTGCAGAGAAAGAGAATCCGCAGGGGTTGTGGGGATCTGCAGGGACAGGGATCCATGGGACATCCACAGGGATGGGGGATCCGGAGGGACGGTGGACCACGGGACGAGCAGGGTCTGAGCAAAGCCTGGCATAGGCTGTGCCCCACCCAACCCTCTTCTCTCTCACAGCCAGAGGTGCCTGCAGACTGCCAGTGACATACCCGCTGCCCACATCCTCGAACCCTCTGCCAACTACAACTCCCCGAAGTTCCGTTCCCGGAACCAGAGCTACATGCGGGCGGTCAGCACACTGAGCCAGGCCAGTTGCGTGAGCCAGGTGGGTGCCCGCAACATGCCTGTGTCTCCCTGCCTGGGGCGGGGGGGGGGGGGGAACGGCTGGGACTGGGGGAGCCTTGGGACTGGGGTAGCACTGACCTAGAATCAGGGCCACTGTCCTCTGCCCAGCAGAGGGGCCCAGAACCACCACAGAAGGCCAGGCTCTGACCACACAGTGCTCTGGGGCAGTGGAGTGCCAGCCGCGCCAGGGGTGAGGACGGCAGCTGTCCTCGCTGACGCTGGAGCGTGGCTGTGTGTGAGGTGCTCCCCGGCCTCCAGACCCCACTGCCCCCATGCTCCTCTGGCAGTGCCGGGCTGGGCTGGGGCGGACCCTGCCCTGTGTCAGGCCGGTTACCCGAGTCCAGCACTGCCATGTGCCTTCTGGGACCAGGACTGGGCCAGGCCAGGGAGCAGCCAGTGTGCAGGTCCCCTGCTGAGCTTCCCGCACACAGTGGTGGACAGGCTTGCTCTCAGGAGTGTCCGCACTGTGGGCTGGAGCCTAGCTCTGCGGACACTGCCAAGGGCTGGGCTGGCCTGTCCCTGGGGCCCACCCTGTGACGGCTGTGCTGGGGGTTGCAGATGAGCGAGGCAGAGGTGAATGGGCACTTGGAGTCGGTGTGTGAATCCGTCTTCAGCGAGGTGGAGTCACAGGCCATGGACGCCTTGGACCTGCCCGGATGCTTCCGCACCAGGAGTCACAGCTACCTGCGAGCCATCCAGGCCGGCTACTCCCAGGACGATGAGTGTGTCCCCGTGATGACACCCGCCAGCCTCTCCTCAGCCATCAGACCCACCACAGGTAAGCCTGGCCCAGGTGGCATAAGGGGTAGACAGGTATGCGGGTGTAAAAATACACGGTACACAGGTGTACAAATGCTTGGGTACATGTCTGTACAAATGCATGGGTACCCAGGTGTGTAAAAACGCAGGGGTACACAGATGTAAAAATGCATGGGTACACAGGTGTACAAATGCACAGATACACAGGTGTTCAAATGCATAGGTACACAGGTGTACAGACGCACAGATACACAGGGCTCCGGCTGACAGTCACAGGGCATGGGGATACGTGAGCTCCTGGCGTGAGCTATCTTATGCTCAGTGTGACCCAGCCCTGTGTGGTCAGTGTGACCCACCCCATGGACCCTGACCCACCCCCATGGCCAGTATAACCTACTCCTGTGGTCAATGTGAGCCAAGTGTCCCTCCATGTCCAGAGTCTTGGCAGGTGGTATCCTGACAAGCCCATTTAATGCCCTGCTCTGTCTTGAGTTCATTTGTGTGTGTGTGTGTGCAGTTATTTTTGACAGGTTTTCTTTTATGACTCTGAAGTTAGCTCTCAAAAAACAATTTCAAAAGAAGTTATTTTAGAAGACATGCCCATAGATCATGGTGAAGCACGAGACTTATTACAATGCCTCTTCCCTCGCTTAGATTAGCACCAGTTGGGGTTTGCTGTGTGGCGTCCAGCTGGCCCTGGTGCAGCTGTGCCTCCGTGGCCTGCTGCAGGACAGAACTCTCAGGCTCAGAGTAGCAGCAGGGACTGGCTCCCGGTTCCAGCTAGAGCAGACACTTGGCTCCCTCAGCCCGGGACCCTCCTTTCCCTTCTGGACAGCCCACGTGGTGGCCACTGCCCTCTTGTTAAACAGTGTTGTTTTGGAGGCAGCTGACTTACCTTACGTAGTTTCTTTTTGATCCGTGCAGTGATTCATCACATGGATTTAGTTGTCTAAATATGTGTCACCCGATTTTTCTGGAGAGAGAATATTATTGATGCCGGGGAGGAAAGTGCTGTAGAATTAGATGATAATGATTTTCGCCCCCGTCAGAAGTGGCTTCCCGCTCTGTCACTGCAGACCTCGAAGCTATTAAAACCAGACGTTTGGAACTGGGACTCGGCAGCACCCGTGCGGCCAAAGCAGGCTGTGCTAGCGTGGTTGTGTTTCCGTGGACACATCTCAGGCAGCAGAGCAATTCCCAGCTCCCCACACCTCTCCGTCTTCCAAACTCAGCACTCGAGTCCTCAGCCCCTCTGCCTCTCTGCCTCATCCCCAGGGCCACCCCCTCACTGGGGGACGTCCAGACGAGCAGGGGATGCGGGACACATGGCCCAGACCCCCACGCAGGAAGGCGGATCTCCCAGCCATGCCCACCAGCGTTGCTCAGCTTTGCCCTGTGCTGTGGAAACTGGAAGCGGGGAATGTTCTGGAACATTCTGGAGAGTCTTCCTGCAGTCTGGCACACCCTTTAGAGGCCAAGTGCACTTGGCTACGAGGGGGATCAAGGACCCTTCTCTTGCCTTTGCCCAGTGTTACCCCTGCCTCAGGGTCGTGACCCTCCCCGGGCAGGTCCCATACTCCCTCAGAGCAGAGGTGACATGAGTGTGTGTGCTCCTGAAGCCCCGGCCCACGCTCACAGGCCACCCGGGAGACCGGGCCGGTGAGGCACGGTCCATGACAACAGCACCACATGTGTGCAGCTCCCTGGGCGGGGGCAGTTCTCAGCACTGGCCTTCCTAGCCTGCCCAGGTCATGTACCTGGCCGGCCAGCCCCTGGGTGCAGCACCGGGCGCCTGCCCGGCCTGTGCTGCCCTCTGCTGGGCCCTGCTGTCTCTGCACGGCGTCCTCCCCAGCTTGCGCTGGGTTCCCGGGGCCAGGCTGTGAGGGTGACCGTCCACCGCCCTCTCTCCTAGCCGTCTCCTACACCAACTACAAGAAGACGCCGCCCCCTGTGCCCCCCCGGACCACCTCCAAGCCCCTGATCTCGGTGACGGCCCAGAGCAGCACCGAGTCCACCCAGGATGCCTACCAGGACAGCCGGGCCCAGCGCATGGCCGCGTGGCCTCCTGACACCCGCGGCCTCTACAACTCCACCGACAGCCTGGACAGCACCAAGGCCCTGAGCCTGGCTTTGGAGACGGCCGCGGCCCAGCGCCTCGCCTCCGAAGGCCAGGGTGGCCCGGCCCGCAGTGGGGACAAGACCGTGCTGATGTCCAAGGCGAATGGCTTCCGGAAGAGCCGCAGTTCCTCCGTGGGCATCCAGGTACCCCTTACCCCCGGCCGGCCCCTCTGTGGGCATCCAGGTACCCCTCACCCCCGGCCAGCCCCTCTGGGCATCCAGGTACCCCTCACCCCCGGCCAGCCCCTCTGGGCATCCAGATACCCCTCACCCCAGGCCGGCCCTTCTGGGCATCCAGGTACCCCTCACCCCAGGCCAGCCCCTCTGTGGGTATCCAGGTACCTCCCATCCCAGGCCAGCCCCTCTGGGCATCCAGGAACCCCCATGCACCCCTAGACTTGACCCTCTGTGGGGTCCAGGTACCCCATCACTCCTAGGCCTGTCCCTCAGCTGTGTCTGTGAGCCCGAATGGACGGGCCCCTCCATGAAGCAGCCGTGGAGTGTCAGATGTGTCTGAGCCCCTTGCCGGCCCCTGCCCGGCCCCTGCCCAGCCACTCACCAGCACGGGTGTGGGGACTCGGCTGAGAGGGACACTCTATTGGCACCTGAGTTTTCTGAGCTTCCAGCCCTGCGCTCAGCTAAATGGGGGCAGGAAGGAAAGGTCCTCCTGGCTTCAGGGGGCCACATCTGGCCCCATCACTCCTTAACCCCTTGGTGTAGCTGGCCCCAGCCTGGGCAGCCACACGCCTGCCCCTCGTGGCACCTGCCCACTCGGCTGGGGCTGAGAAGCAGCGTGCAGGACCCCAAGCGCCGAGCACAGTGGAGAGCAGGAGGCAGGAGCCGCTGGAAGCCTCGCCCCCCTACCACTGTGCCCGAGGGGAGGGGAGTGTGAGGCTGGCCGGAGAGCAGGGCCCCCTGCCGGGTGCTCAGGCCCCCACACTGCGGTTCATGTTTTGTTTAGGACTCAGAGTTCCCAGACCACCAGTCCTACCCAAGGTCTGATGTAAGTACCAGCCCCAGGCGCCGCATGAATGGGTCCCCCTGTCTGGTCTTCTCTTGGCAGCCGCTCTCCTGTCCTGAGTCTCTGCTGGGCATACCCAGCTGTGCAGACCCACCACCAATTCCCGGCACACACACACATACCCACTGGGCCTGGGGCGGGCTCACACACACACACACACACACACACACACACACACACACACACACACAGGGCCTGAGGTGGGTTCACACACACACACACACACTGGACCTTGGGTGGGCTCACACGTACACACATACAGGGCCTTGGGGCAGATTCACACACACACACACACACACACACACACACACACACACGGCCTGGGGCAGGCTCAGAGCCAGCAGGTGCACATGGGAGGAAGCCAGGATGGTCCCTGCACAGACGCTGTGGGTTCCCCTCTACAGAGAAGGCAGCACACTCATGCTCGGCACCTCTCACCTGCCACCTCCCACCTCCGGCCACAGATGGGGAGCTGTGAGCCAGGTCCTCAGGGTCCTGGGGAAGGGGGATATTACAGAAGCCCTGACTGCAGACTCCCACAGCCCACAGCTCTCGTCCTACAGCCCTCAGGCCTCAAGTCTGTGCCATGTAGCCCACGGCCCTTAGCCCATGCCCCTACAGCCCATGTCACCTCAGTTCTCAAGCTGCCCACCTGTCCACAGGAGGTGCCAGCCCCCATGCCTCCAGCCCTCCTTTCTCAGGACCGTCCTCTCTATCCCACCATGTCCTGCTAACCACAGCACCCCACACCACTCTGGAGCTTTCTGGGGACCCCCCAAAGATGTCTGAAGGCCAGAAGCAACCTCCAGCTCACCTTTGATTCCCTGGCTCAGAGCCAGCGCCAGTGTCAGCGATGGGCGCCTGAGCCCCCAGTCAGGGAAGCCCCTTCTCCAAGTGATGACCCTCCCCAAGCGATGCCCCTCCCCCAAGCAATGCCCCTCCCCCAAGTGATGCCCGCCCCAGGGAAACCCCACCCCAGGGGAGCCCCACCCCTAACACCCCCTGCCCTCCAACCAGGAGGGGACAGGGGTTGACACGGGTCTGTTTGCTGACCCTAGAAGGAGCTGCCTGAGGTGGTCAGCACCTGTGTCCATGCACACTCTGGGCCCTGTCCCTTGTGGGCTGCAGGGTCTCAGTCAACCCACCTGCGGCTTCCTCCTGTCCGTGTGTGCGTGTGCATGTGCGTGTTCGTCTGTCCGTGGAAGCGTGCTGACACATTCAGAGGCTGTCCTCAGAGCACCAGCCCAGGGGAGCCGGGCTGGGGACTGTGGGCTGGGGGAGGCAGAGTTGCTGAGCTGTCCGTCCCCACAGCCCTGACCCACCGGCCCCACAGGCTGTGGCAGGCCCCCGATGGACACATGGGACATCCAGGGGCGTGAGGGGCAGGAGGTTAGCTGGAGCAGAAACAAGTCTCGAGGCTTGAGTCCCACCTGAGATTCAGCTCATAGCCGGCTCATGGATCCTTCAGGACCCCCGGACACACACCTGCACCAGCACCCACACAGCTGCACCCGGGCAGCTTCCCTGAAAGCCCCATGACACCTGTAGTGTCAGTGTGAGACCAGGCCCTTGTGTCCCTGCTTGCGTCTCGGTTCCCCACAGCCCTGCTCTCCTGCAGCTTGAGGCTCCTCCCACATCATTAGAGGTCGGGGTCATGAAAGAAGAGACGCAGGGGCCTGGCACTCCCGGGTGGGAGTTCCTCCCATTTCGAGACGACGCTCTGAAGGACATGGAGGCACCTCTGATGCACTTTGTCTAGCTCAAGCAGAACACACAGGCCCCACTCTGCCCAGACAGCCCCAAGTCCACACACCTGTGTGTCCGGGAGCGTGTGTGCTACCCTGTGCTCACACACGCACGGGAGAGAGTGCCACTGCGTGCTTGGTCCATGTCCTTCCTCGCCTCAGCCCATTGCAGCAGTGGACCCTGTCATGGTGCAGGGCCTTGAAAAGGGACTTTGGGGGAAGGAGGTCTGCAGGAACAGCATGGGGATGGGTCGGGCCCAGGGGGTTGAGGCTTTCTCCTAGAAAACAAGCTAGAAACCCCGGCTCCTTGCTCCCCAGGCTCGTGGCTCTGGGAGACTCGGGGCACACATGCCCCAAGGCCCAGGCAGAGTTCGGCTTCCTGCTGGGCTGGCGTGACCTCACGGAGGGGCCAGTGCTGGGGATGGAGAGACTGAGGGAGGCAGGCCCTGGGCAGGTCTCTGCGACGCGTCTGTGTGTCTCTGTGACGCATCTGACGCGTCTGTGTGATGCCTGTGGTGTCTGTATGACAAACGTGATACGTGTGTGTCTCTGATGCCTATGGTGTGTATCTGTGTGATGAACGTGACACATGTGTGTCTGTGGTATGTGTCTGTGTTCTCTGAGTGATGTATGTGTAGTGTGTAGTGCGTATCAGCTGTGATGTGTGTCTTGTGTCTCTGTGTGATGTCTGTTGTGTGTACGTCTGTGTGATGTGTAGTCTGTAGTGTGTGTCTGTGTGTCTCTGATGTCTGATGCCTGTGGTGTGTGTCTATGTGATGAATGTGACACATGTGTGTCTGTGGTGTGCGTCTGTATGTCTCTGAGTATATATGTATAGTGTGTGTCTGTGTGATATGTGTGTCTTGTATCTGTGTGATGTCTGTGGTGTGTATGTCTGTGTGATGTGTGTCTGTGGTGTGTGTCTGGAATGTATGTGGTATGTGTGTGTCTGTGTCTCTGAGTGATGTCTATGGTGTGTATGTCTGTGATGTGTAGTCTGTGGTATGTGTCTGTGTAATGTATGTGATGTGTGTCTGTGGTGTGTGACTGTGCTTCTGTGTGACATGTAGCATATGTGTGGTATATGATATGTGTGACATGTGATTAGTGTGTCTCTGTACGACGTCTGTCATGTGGCTCTGGCATGTTACATATGTATTGTATGTGGTTTGTGTCTGTGGTGTGTACAAATATAGGCTAAGAGTTGTGCATACATGCATGGGTGTATATATGTGTCTGATGTGTGACTTGTATAAATTTGTGTAGAGAGTTGTGTGTTGCTGTACATGTCTGTGGTATAGTGTGTTGTGTGTATGTGTGGTGCATAAATATGTATGTGGTGTTTAGGTGATGTGTGTAGTGTGCATGTCTGCTGTTTGGTGTGTATTGTGTGGTGAATACATGTGTGCGTGGGGTATGTGTCTGTGGTATACATGTCTGGTGTGTGTCTGTGTGGTGCTTGTTTGATGTGCGTGGTATATGTGTCTGTGTGGTGTGTCTGTGTGGTGTGTGCATGATGTGTGTGGTGTCCGTGTCTGTGTGTGCATGCATACCTGCAGCCCTTGGTGGCCCAGTGCAGCGGCTTACTTGTTTCTGCGTGGGCTGGGCTGTGAGCACTCCCTCAAGGGCTAGCGCAGAGCATACTGCCAGGCTGACCTGGGCAGCCGTCCCCCAACAGCTGAGGCTGCAGGACTGTGGGGAACAGGGGGGCAGGACGGGGACTGCCCCGCACACGCATCTCCAAATCCGTGTCCTTAACGGAACCACGGCGCCGTTAGCGACAGACACGAGCGCACGCTGGCAAGCCCTTGCCATCCATGTCCCTGCTCTGAAACAAGCTGTTCTGTGTTGCGTCAGGTGGAGACGGCGACTGACTCGGACACGGAGAGCCGGGGGCTGCGGGAGTACCACTCGGTCGGCGTGCAGGTGGAGGACGAGAAGCGGTAACTTTCCCCTTCCCGTGGTTGCTGCCTCTCTGCCTCTGGGGTGAGGCGCCTGCCGCTGTGGGCAGGAGCCCAGGGCCCGCTGCCTCAGGGGAGAGGTGCCCACCAGAGGCAGGGCCCATTCAGGGGAAACCAGCCAGGCTTGGACACACGGCCTCCTGCCTGCCTGCCCCCGAGGGCCATGGTCCAATGTAGGGCCCTCATCTAACATGAAACCAGCTGTTGGAGCCCCCAACACTGGTGTGCGTGGCAGGGCCAGAGGGTAACCATCTGCCCCAGTGTCCCTGAGCCTTCAGAGCCACCTGATGTGTGCATACATACCCCACCCCAGGCAGCCCACCACCCTCTACGTGGGGCTGCTCTGAACAGCACAGGCAGACCATGAGTTCAAGAACACACCACAGGGGTCCCCTGCAGCTCCCAAGGAACAGACCAGTGAGAGCAAGGGCCAGAGTGTGGGGTACATATGACACACACATGTGCATAAACTCATGGGCATATGCACATACATATACATGCATTCACATATACATGGTGGCACATGCATGAACTCACATGTGAAGGTGGCACATGCACCATGTGCATACACACACTTGCATGTGTACATGTGCATATACTGCTGATAGCACACATGTACACACATATGTGACATTCATATACTCGCCTGCAGAGGTCACCAGTGCACACATACACATGCATATCCTCATATATGTGAGGTGGCACACACTTATCCTCACACACGTGTACCCACGTATGCTCACATGTGCACACATACACACGTGCCTATGGCACACACTCATGTGCACATGTACACAGCATATCATCAGACTTATGTATATACACGCTACTTGTACCCACACTCACTTGCGTGTATGTACACCATCACATATACACGTGCATGTATGTACTACACATTGCATTCATGCGTGCATACACTATGCCTCACCCAAGCACACAGACACCATAGGTTGTAGACATGCATATATACAATACACCACACTCATAATGCATTATGTATTGCTGCATGAGACACACGTGTGCTATGTACCATACACATGTGTGCACAAACAACACCACACTCTGTGTACAAATTCCTGTGTACCATACTACATGCAAGTACATGCTATACCGCACACATGCTCAGGCACATAGATACATGTGTGTACACATGTACACCACCACCGCCCACCACCCCTCACACAAATCCTCACCAGTAATAGCTGAGCTGGAGACTGGCAGTACGGTCGGTGGCTGGGTGCTCTTGAGGGTTGGGGGTAGTGTGCTTTAAGACCCCCGCGGAGGCGTTCCTGCCTGTCACCAGGCGGAAGGGGCCACCTCCAGTGGCGACGCCCGGAGCTGCAGGACAGTGAGCTGGCTCTGCTGGGGGCAGCAGGTGGGCGTCCAGGCCTGGGGGGGGCTCAGGCCGGCGCCTGTCTTCACAGGCACGGGCGGTTCAAGCGCTCCAACAGCGTCACGGCCGCCGTGCAGGCCGACTTGGAGCTGGAGGGCTTCCCGGGACACGTGGCCACCGAGGACAAGGGCCTGCAGTTCGGGTCGTCCTTCCAGCGGCACTCGGAGCCCAGCACGCCCACCCAGTACGGGGCGGTGCGCACGGTGCGGACTCAGGGGCTGTTCAGCTACCGGGACGACTACCGCGCGCCCGCGGACACCGTCAGCCTGCCGCCGCCTGACCCCTGGCTGGAGCCGGCGCTGGAGCCCGTGGACGCGGGCAGGATGTCCCCGTGCCGCCGGGATGGCTCCTGGTTTCTGAAGCTGCTGCACAAGGAGACCAAACGGATGGAAGGGTGGTGCAAAGAGATCGAGAGGGATGCGGAGGAGAACGACCTCCTGGAGGAGAGTAAGTGCCGGGGCGGGGTCCGGGAGGGGGCGGGGCCCTGGAGGGGCGGGGCCTGGGAAGGGGCGGGGCTGGACTGGGGGCGGGGCCAGGGAAGGGGCGTGGCTCAGGACTGGGGTGGGGCCAGGGAAGAGACCAGGGCCAGGACTGGGGGTCTAGGCTAGTGCTTGGGGTGGTAGGGTTGGATCCCATGATGACGAGTGAGGGACGTCCTTGTGTTCCTTCCACCGTCAGCCAAGTGCCCACAGACCCTTCTATATGGGCCGCATCTGCATGGGGCCTGGCTGGGTAAAGCCGCATCAGATAGGCCTCGGAGCTTGTCCCCCACCCCCGGCCCCCTGCCCTTGAGCTTGGTCTTGGCTAGTGTAGACATGTCCATGTTTTCTGGATACTGCAGCAGCATCGCACCAGAGGCAGGCACAGGGAAGGGATGTGAGAAGCGGCCCGCGGTCAGGGGTATTCCTGCCCTGTGGCTGGCCACACGGCCTCTAGTGTGGGCAGCAGGCTTGCTGCAAGCCCCACCCAGGGACTCCAGCCAGGTCCTGACGGCCCCTCGCCTGCCTGTCACCACCCAGAGCACAGCAGAGGATCCGCAGCCCGACCACCTGGGGCCAGTGTGAGGCAGGAGCTCCCAGGACCCTCACATCTCCCAGAAATCCCCTTCCCCCCTCCATGGGGCTCTTGGCCATTGTCAGGGGTCTGCATGCAGATGTGTCAGGGAGTGCCCCATGCCCCAAGGACTCTGGGAAACGTGTGTGTGCACATGGGATCTGGGTCTGAGTCTGGGAATAGGTGTAGGACTGACGGTCTCAGCCCCCAGGGAGGCAGGAAGGTACCGATGTTAGGGGCAGTTCTGCACCCTGCATTTCTGTCTGGACCCAGCTGAGGGTCTTGGGGGCAGAGACATGCCCCTGCCCTGGGCATCCGTGGCCTTTGATCTGCTTACCACATCCTTCATCTTGGCACATTTGTGGGCTGATGAGTCCAGTGTCCACAACCCCTGTCACGTGCACGTCCCTGTGGCAGGTGGTCCTGATAGACAGTCCCTGAGCTTCATCCCAGAGCAAACTGCTTAGCACAGGTGTACTGGGGGCATCTGGCGTGGGCCCTACACATCCGGGAGCTGCCAAAATTGCCCACGGAAACAGGGAAGGTGCCTAGAAGGTGATGCCTTTGGTCAGGAGCCTCGGGACAACCCCAGCAAAACCCCTACATGGAAGGCTCTCGAGGTCTGTTGCAGTGGGTGAGGGGAGACACAGCCAGGCTGAAAGTGCCCTAGACTGTTGCTTCCAACCTCTCGGTGACACAGTTACTAGTGCAGCAGAGGCCTCTCGAAGCCATGATGCTGGGCGTTTCCCGCCAGGTTTTCTGGAGCCCAGGTCACTGTATACTCCAGGGTTCGAAAGACGTGCCCGAGTCCAAGGCAGAGAAAGCTCTTCCGCACTACTCAACAGAGGGCTGCAGGCTCCCACAATCTGAGCTAGAGTGCAGAAGCTCCCCTAGACTGCAGGAGGTAGGGTATGGGCACCCCCAAGCAGCTCACAAGACAGCCAGGGATCACATGCCAGCCCCTCTGCCCAGCTCTGCAGCAGTGAGGTTGGGGGCTCCTTTGTGAGACCCTCCCCTGGCTTCCACCTGCCTCTCCTGTGGCTCAGGAATGGCCTCTGTGGCTGGGACCTTCCTGAGAGAGAGTCTGGGGGGGACCCCAGGCTGTCTACCTGAGCCTGGGAAAGTTAGAAGGATGTAGGTTCCTTCTCAAACTCAACAGCTTTCAAAGGTTGAAAAAACTGCCAAAAAACTACTCCTTCTCCTGCCACGCAGTGGGAGGTTCTGGAAAGCTCTGGAATGATTTTATACTCGTGCCTTATGTGAACTAGGACTTGGGGTTGCCAGGAGCCCTGAGGGGCAGGAGCCAGGCCCCGCAGGTTTCTGGAGCCCGGACAGACACACCTTCCTCACACACATTCCATCTTCACACACTCCATCCTCATACACACACTATCCTCATACACACGCCATCCTCACACACACGTGTGTGAGGAAGGTGTGTCTGTGAGGATGTTCCCACAGGGGAGGCATGCTTGAGAGCACAGCAAGGCTGCCGGAAAGTGGGTTCCAGGGCTCCCAACTGTATTTCTCTAAATGGACTACTTCAAGTCTGTTTTGAGCCTGTGGGGTCTCCTTCTGGGACTCCTTGCTAATTAAACATCTGACAGGTATTTATCATGCAGGTGCTGGATGCTGGACATGGGCTAGGATTGTGGGAAGATGTGAAAACACAGGTGGACACAGTGGCTGCCTGTGGGGCCCACGAAAGGCAGACGACCAGCCATAGGTTCTCAGGGGGTGAGGGTGGAGGGGGATGGAGAGAATGCAGGGACAAGCTTTGAGATGGGGCCTGAGGTAGCGTCACCAGAATATTCCAGAGGGCTTCCTTGGAACGAAGGCTTGTGCTGAGGTTCAAGGGGCAGGTTTGGGCAAGAGCTGGGGCAGCAAAGGCAAAGGGCACGGCCTCTGCACACGGGTCCACTCACTGGCCTGGGATGGTGGTCAGGACCACTTGCCTGTCATCTGTCCTTCTGCATTTCTTTGAGGACTTGCTTTTCTCAAAACCCAGATCACCACTTCTTTCCTCACTTCGAATCCCTGCTGTCCCGGTTCCAGTGAAGGTCCTGGGACACAGCCACCCCCAGACTTGGTATTTTCGTAACAAGTACTGACAATGACTCGCAGGCATTCTTGGGTATGACAGAAGGAGGGTTATGTGTGAGGATGGAGAAGTGTGTGTGAGGATGGAGAAGTGTGTGTGAGGAAGGAGTTTGTGTGAGGACAGAGGAGTGTGTGGTGTGTGAAGAAAGCATGTGTGAGGGTGGAGTGTGCGTGAGGGTGGCGTGTGTATGAGGATGTGGTGTGTATGGGGATGGAGTGTGTGTGAGGATGGAGTGTGTGTGAGGAAGGTGTGTCTGAGGATGGAGCGTGTGAGAGAAAGATGTGTGTTTGATGATGGTGTACGTGTGAGAAAATGCTGTGTGTGAGAATGGAGTGTGTGTGAGGAAGGAGGGTGTATAAGGAGGAGGATGGAGGAGTTGTGAGCATAGAGGGGATGGAGCAGTATTGTGTGTGAGCATGAGGAGTGTGTAATTTGGAGGAGTGTGCACTTTGGATGGAACAGAGGTAGGTACGGGGCATGGAGGACTGTGCGCTGATTTGGGAGGACCTAGAGAAAGTGTTACCTGCTTCAGGCTCTGCTCGGTCTGCTCAGACCCAGCAATCGCTGCATTTGGCACCACTAGTACTTCGCCCTGAGAGCCTGAGGCATCTTCCCAAAGGACCCCTCCACAGACTCCACCTACCATGGCAAACTTGCATCTCCCTGACCGATGTCATTGCATCTGTCTCCAGCATGAGGACAGAGTTCCCGAGCTTTTCTTCCTTCTTTTTCCTCTGTTAATCACTGAAGATCTTTACATTTCTGGTCAGGCGGCAGGATCCGCTCCCTTGTGTTTGATGCGCGTATTAATTACATTTCAGTAGCAGCCCTGTAGGTATTATAGGTGAGACACCTCTGAGTCTAGTCATTTCAAGAGCATATAAGCACATAGTAGGTTACTGGCAAAAGCACTTTTCTAAATTAGCGATTACACTTAATGCTTGTTAACCAAATCTGTGCTTCCGAGTTTGAAATTCTGTCCAATGAAATAGTTGTTCCGCCCGGCAGTTTCCTGCTCACGGTTCACTGAGCAGATTGAGCGGGTTTCGGTTCAGCCATCTGTGGCTAATAAGAGCTGTAGGGCACCTAATAAACCTGGGATTCAGCGAGGCCCCTCAGTGCGACTTGTATTCCCACGCACCACCTGTGAGCCCCATGGGCTCAGTGCGGATGTGTAAAGTCACACAGGTGAGGAGGCCCAGGAAAGTAAGCGAGAGTAAGTCTGGCTTCTGAGGCGAAAGGTGGCATGGAGTTTGCTTGACCGCCCTCAGCACAAGGGCCCGAGTAGCTGTGCCATGAGGGTGTCATTGAGGCATCTAGGCTCACGGGGGTGTTGGCAGTCGGGGTTTCCGGCGGGTTCTCGGAGTGAGTCACGGTCCCTCCCCCAGAGTCTGTGGTGAGAGGGCATCTGAGAAGACCTTACCTGCCACCAGCCGAGGCTCGGCGGGAGGGACAGCCACCAAGCCCCGTGCTTCCTTGCTAAGGAGGTGCTGTCCACCCCCGGGGACCCCTCACACAGCCAGGGGCCTGACCGCAGCCCTGGTGGTGGTCCATAGCCTGGGGACAGAAGTGCGCTGAGGAAGGAGTGTGTCAGGATTGCAGGGAGGCACCCAGTCTCAGGTGGTCTTCCTGGGCTTGTCTCTTGTGCTCACCTTGACCTCAGATGGAGCAGGTGTGCAGGTGTCCTGGCCCTTCCCCGAGAGGCAGGCAGAACCTGGGTCGTGCAGCATGCTTAATGTTCAGCTAAAGGAGCCCGTGGTCTAACCCCAAGCCTGTGCTCAGAGGCTTACGGCTGCATTGGTCTGACCGGAAGAACCGTCCTCTTTATTTGCAGCCCAAAGAAAAAGTGGCTAAATGATGACCAGATTAGGGAAGTTTACTGGGAAAGAGTAAGTTGGATGTTCTCTCGGAGTCTGTGCAGTCATAGAAAGGTCATGCCTTGGACATTCTCACGAACACTCCTGGGCAGTGGGCAGTGGGCAGTGGGTAGTGGGTTGAAAGAAGCTCCCGCCAGTAATTTTATTGGATGTGCAGGTCGGGGTCTTCCTGGGAGGAAGCTGCGATGTCCAGCTGACTCCTCATTTGGTCTCAGAGAGGCCAAGCTGCTTACGGGGCCGCGGGTGGCGTATATGATGGACATTGCTGACCAGCAGAGGCATCCTCGTGTGGTGGATGGCTCCCGGTCACTGTCCCTCTCCCGGACACCTCTCCCCAGCAGCATTGCTCCATGTCTCCTGCCGCTCCAGGGACCTGGCCCAGCTCCCTGCCAGCCAGCCTGGGGGTGTACCCAGCACCACAGAGACCCCTTTCCCAAGTGCGGAGACCCCAGCCCTGTGGGGTCAGCTGTGCCTCCAGACCCTTCCCACCCGCCAGGACTGGATGTGACGTGCCACTCCCACCTCTCCTTCATCCCCTCCCCACTCACCTTGCATCTCTTCTTCATCCCGCGTCTCCCCTTGCCCTGTGTCCCCCCAACCTCCCATCCTCCCTCCCCTCCTCCTGCACAGGTCCAGCTCACATGTGGAAACAGCGCCCCCTAGTGACACCAGGGAAGATCTGCCTCGCTAGGATCAAGTGCCCCTTAGGAGTTCTGGGACAGCCCAGGTTAAGGTCTCAGTGGCGGGTGACTCCTGAGTTTCCCAGGCTAGCCCCTGTCTCAGGCACATACTTCCCTGACTCCCCATCGAGGAGCAGAGACCAGCAGTGCTGCCGCCTGACCTGGGGGATGCCAGCCATGGAGACCACCTTTTATTTTATTTTTTAAATTCAAAATTTTTTAAGTATGGTTAAAGTGAAGTGAATTAATTTTTTTTTCACTGGGTGGTGACTTTGGAGTCTTTGTGGTGTGTCACCCTGTTGTGGCTGTTGTCTGATTTATTTGTGCATCTCTGGATCGTGGTCATTAATGAGTTTATGTGGCACCAGAGGCAGCTCCTGGGTGTGACTTCCAGGCTGTGGGAAGCCCAGGGGAGCGGAGGCAGGCCGCCCATTCCCGACGCTGTGCAAGCCTGGAGATATCAGTCATGAGTCCCATATGCCTGGGTTTCTCAGCAGATTCCCTCATGGGTGAGGCTCGTCCAAGCCTGTGGAGAGCAGCCGTGAGCATGGCGGCAATTGGGTTCTGGAGGTTTTTGGCTGCTAGAGCTTGTTAGGGTGGGGAGAACTCACCCGCCACCTTCCGTGTTCCCCCAGTGAGACAGCCTGGTGCGGGGGGAGACCACCTTTTAACCCTCATTCCCAGCATGGCAGCTGAAACCCTGCCAGTGACCATTTCCGTGGTCTCATGACCCAGGACAGAGCACGGAGATGTGCCCACTTGTCTCCTGCCCACTGCCCAGTGTGCCTTGGGCTCTGCTTGGCTTTTCCAACTGACCAATCTCAACTCTCTGTCTCCTCAACAGCCCTCGGCAAGATCCGGAGTGCAGTGGGGAGTGCCCAGCTCCTCATGTCCCAGAAGTTCCAGCAGTTTTACTGGCTTTGCCAGCAGAACATGGTGAGTGCTCCAGTCGGTATGTACGAGGTTGGGTTGGGGGGGGGGGGGGGTGTAGAGCAGTGGCCAGCCCAGTTCTGGAGGTTCCTGGTGTGGCCCAGCAGAGTGGCCATAGGGTGGCCCAGAGGAACAGTCATCTTCGAGCCCCAACTGTCCCATGCAGACTCGCTGGGCTCATGGAGATGACCAAAGCACACACAGGTTTAGGACTTGACCTGTCTCCATCCCCAGGCTCAGAGTGTTTTCAGAATAGGACAGCAACCCACTGCACCACTGACATATTTTAGCACTTCAGAGTTCTCAGTTCACAGCAAGACTGAGAAAGCACCAGGAGAGCCCCTCCACACCCCTGGGGGACATGTGTGACCAATGAACTGGCCATTGGCACTCTGAGGCCACCTGTAGGTAGGGGGCCTCTGGGCATGGTCCCTCCTCTCGGTTTGGATCTCCGCAGTGATGATAGGGACCCTGTTCTGTCCCGTGGGGGCTTCCATGCTCTGGACCTTCTCGCCTGTCCACCGTTTGCCCCGTGAGCCCGGGGCTGCAGCCTTCTCCCTGCCTCCGGGTTTGTCTCTCCCAGACATCAGATCAGCCCCACAGATGGGGCTTTACAACTTCCTCCCCAATGAGCACGTGTGGAAACCTATCTGACTGAGCCCCAGGGCCTCAGAATACAGGTGCCTGGCACCAGCCCTCCCTCCGCGGCTGCTCACGGCTCGGCCCTGCCCGTGTGTTCCAGGACCCCAGCGCCATGCCCAGACCCACGTCGCAGGACCTGGCGGGCTACTGGGACATGCTGCAGCTGTCCGTGGAGGACGTCAGCATGAAGTTCGATGAGCTGCACCAGTTGAAGCTCAACAGCTGGAAGAGCATCGAGTCCCCTGAGAGAAAGGTAACCACACACATACATGCGCGCGCGCACACACATGCACACACACACACATGCACACAGCTCCGTATCCCCACACACAAAGACACACACACAGAACCCCACACACACAGACACACTGTCCCTCACACACAGTTCCTCACACACACACAGAGACACAGCCCCTCACACACACAGTCCCTCACACACACTACTCCCCCAACACACACATAGACACAGTCCCCCCATAGACACACACAGCCCCCTCACACACACACATGCACACACACGCACACAGCTCCCCATCCCCACACACTGACACACACAGAACCCTCTCACAGACACACAGAAACACAATTACAGACACAGCCTCTCACACAGAGATACACATAGCCCCTCATATACACAGCCCCTCTCACACACACACAGCCCCTTTCATACACAGCCGCCTACAGAGCCCCCTACATAATCCCCTGCACCACTTCCCCCAACACACACACACACACACACACACACACAAACAGGGACTCCACATTGCCTCAAACCAGCTACAGCTCTCTGGGGTCATGTGTTTTCACGTGTCCATGGCTGGGGTTCCAGGTCATCCACACAGTGCCATGCAGTGACTGTGGCTGAGCGTGAAGCCCCAGGCCGTGGCAACCTCCCCTCCCCTGGGACAGCACCCCTGCCCTTGGGGGGTGGTCTCAGGCCGCCCCCAGGAAGTCTCCACTCATGCAGGCTGGTGTCCACCTGTCTGTCTGCCTCGAGCACGCCGCACTGGGAGGGTGTGAGCGCCCACTGGCTCTTGTCCCGTTGGCCTCATTCAGTGCCTTGGAGACACGTCCTCGGGAAGCACCGGGCTTTCCTGGACAGACATCACCCATTCCGCGAAATGGGAAAGTGAACACCCAGGGATGCGTGTGAGCAGTGCTCCAAGCCGCCCACTTCCTGGCACCCAGGGCCAGCGAAGGGTGTGGGGGCCGTGAGGGAAGCAGGGGCTAAGGAGCAGCCCTCGGCCACAGCTTACCACCATGGCACTGACCGGCCCAGAAACAGCCACTGGTTGACTGTGCATGTCCTGATCCACCCATGTGCCCCCCACCACACACACATGCTGTGAGTCCTGTGGGGACTGGCTGTGCTGCTTTGCAGACACACGTGTGTCCTGCACGGGCTGTCTGTCCCATGTGCTTGCTGAGAATGTGCACATCTGCATGCTGCAGAGACGGTGTGTGTGCAGGGGTGTACGAGTGCCTTATGTCTGGGGCATGCACACGTGTTTACCAGCATCTGCGAGTGCACACATGTAGACATCTGTATACCTGGTAAGGGGTTAAGGCCACATAATTACACGTGACAGTTTCCTGGAACCCCCGTGGGTGGTCTGTGAGTGGGACCCACGGGCAGGGGGGAAGAAAGGGGCCCACATGGGGAGGGGGGTCTGAGAGTGAGGCCCGTGTGATGGTCTGTGTGTGCCCTTAGAACCCAAGGTTGTGGGGGACAAGACTGGGACACGGCACCCAGATGTGCAGGGGTGGGTGTGTGCTGTACCCAGACTTCACAGTGGCCTCTGGCAATATCGGGGCATGTGGATGAGTGGACGAGGGGGTGACAGCTGAGCTGGGCGGGGAGAGGGTCTCCCTTCCATGTCTGTTGCGGATGCTCCCCTCAGCCCCTGAATTCGTCTTGCATGGCTTTTCAGGAAGAAAGAAAGGTCCCTCCGCCAATACCAAAGAAGCCCCCCAAAGGCAAGTCTCCCATCACCAGAGAGAAGTCCCTGGACCTGCCGGACAGACAGCGCCAGGAGGCGCGGCGGCGGCTGATGGCGGCCAAGCGGGCGGCCTCCTTCCGCCAGAACTCGGCCACGGAGCGGGCAGACAGCATCGAGATCTACATCCCCGAGGCGCAGACGCGCCTCTGAGGCCGGGCCCCCGTTCCTGCCTGCTCCTGGCGCCGTAGACACCGGCCAGGCTGTCCCCACTGCACCGGCGTGGACGTCTGCCCCGGGGGGCGCTGTCCACACCGGCACGGGCAGAGCGGCGTGGGGACGCCGACTCAGGCTCTGCCCGAGGCGACCCAGGTCACCCTTGTTATCTCTATTTTTATCGAGTGTGTGGAATTAGAGGTAAGAATAACAGATCGGGCCACTCGGGGCCGTCTCCTGCAGGCCCCCTCCGGAGTCATCACTCCCCCCGTGGAAGGTGCCTAACGTGCAGAAAGAAAAGCCCCTTGGCTGCCCCCTCCCGGCCCCACAGCTGCCCCCGAAGCTCTGGTGCCAGGGCCAAGGGCAGACGTGGCGTCTCCAGCACCGCCTCCTGCTGCTCTGCCAGCCGGCTACACCACGTGAGCATCCAGGCCAGCTCCGGCTGCGGGCACCAGCAGAGGGCACCTGCAGAGGACTGAGCAGGGGGTCGAGTCCATGCACCGAGAGGGCCTGGCGGGCCCTAGACGCCGCCCAGCGCCCAGTTCAGTGGGACTCAATGTACATACAGCGTCAAACTGCTCTGCCCGTTGGTTCCAGGGTCCGTCAGAGAACAAGAAACCGTAGCCCGGGTGTGTGTGCTGCGGGGAAGCAGGCCGCACCTCCACACAGGCTCTGGGTTCGGGGAGGTGCTGCTGGCCACAGAAACGGGCCGAGGAGGACTATCCCCACCTGGGCCACAGGACCCTGCGTTCTTGGGGGGAACGGCCGGCACTGGCCAGTGGGGGCGGGGTGGGAGGAAGCTGGTGGAACGGCCCCCACTGGCCGCCGAGCACCGTCGGAGTTGGGGGCCTCATCCAGACCCAGACCCCCCCGCTTTGTGGCATACGCTGTCCAGCCGGCCACTCGCTCCCTGACACGCAGGCTCAGTGGGACCCAGGGTCAAAGTGGGTCGGCAGCTGGACAGACGCTTCCCCACTCCGAAGCCAGAGCTTCCTTCTGCTGCTGCCGGAGGTGGGGCACGGCCAGGAGCGCACCCCGGGACCCCCACTCCTGTTCCTCACCTGCCTCGCACTTTAAGATGCTCCTGGCTCACGCGCGGCTGGAAGCCGGCTGGCCGCTGCCCGCAGGGAGGGCCGGGTGGTCCCCACCTGGTCTCCCCTCCTCACTGCCCCTCTCAGCATGGGGCTCACGGGGGCACCGTCGATATTAAAGCATGTTTAGCTTCAGAGTTTTACTTTTTTAAAGCCGAGTAGTTAAGAATTCCCTGTAAGAACAAAACCATGTAAATTAAGCCTCATATCTGGTATATATTTTACCAAACAGCCTTAAGATATATTTGGAAGCAAAAATCAGTACGAATGTATATCCTTGAAAAATGCAAAAAAAAAAAAATCCCTGAAATATTCTTCTATAAATGAATCCTATTTCCCCAGAGTATTCAAAGCATTTTTCTACCTAAATAAATACCTAAATCCTGAGTAGTGTACAAAAACAATGCTTCTTCCTGTACTCACTGTACTATGTTCAAATCAAATGTATGTGCAAGTCTCGGCATCTTAGACCCCAAACACGATGTACTACTCGCAGCAATCTGCTCTTCGGAAGTGAGCCCTGGGGAGCAGCGTGCGCCCTCTGCCCTCTGCCCTCCCCCGGCTCACACGCGGAGGTCAGAGGACACGCATCAGCCAACGGCCGTGTTGCAGCTCTTGGCCAGGAACTTGTACGAAACCTCTAGCAAGGACCCAGGAAAACCAGACGGTGACTCCTTTTAGACCCTGGATCTCTGATTCTGACTTGAACAAGAGTACCCCTGATTTGGATTACTTTTTTATGTTTTTTAGACTCGTTTTTATCTTAAAATCCCAAAGCCTTGGCCTGAACCACCCCCAGGTGAGCAAACTGACTTAAAGCAGCCGCAGGCTGGGTGGAGGGGGCCCAGCACGGCTCGGCAACACCCAGCAGGTCCCAAAGAAGGTGCCGGCAGCTGCTCCCGTGCCCCAGTCTGTGCACTAGGATGGCCCCAGGCGGGGGGTCAGCGGGAGCACCTGGGATAAGCCATGCTCCCTCGCTGTACATGTACGGAGAATTAAAGCTCTTTCCAGCACCGTGCCTCGCCAGCTCATTTCCCAGCCCCTCCCTGGTCTGGCCGTGAGGTGTGGGTGTGGGACCAGCGTCCAGGCGTGCTCTCCCGCACCCCGTGGCCCCACCTGGCTCGGAGCAGTGTGTGGTGGGTCCCGGGTCCCGGGGTGAGCCGAGCCTGTGAGCATCTGCCCCCACTCACCTAGAAGGAGCCTTGGGGGGGAGGGAGGGTGGTGGTGCAGCCCAGTGCTCGGAGTTCCGACTTGGGGGGCTGCCTTTGGACGGAGGCTGCATGGCTTGGAAGCAGGGAAGCTGAGCACCGCAGCACCCGTGAGCCATGAACTGTGTCGGGCAGGCAGCCTCTGGCCCCTCCAGGCCCCCGGGCTCCCGGTGCTCAGCTTCCCTGCTCAGGCACCAGCTTCCCTCCCCCCTGCCCAAGCACCGGCTTAGGAGAGGACAGCGGATGGAGGCAGGGAGCCGCAGGGCCTGAGTCAGCCACCAGAGGGCGCCAACATGCCTGGACGCCTCCAGGGGCCTATGCAGTGCCAGCTGAGGGCCACCTGGCTAGGCACTGCCTGCTGGCACAGGAGGTGCGAGAGGGGAGGTGACTTCTCCCCGGCAGATACAAGAGACTTCAGCAGGGCCCTCCGTGGGAGCCGCTTCCCTCGCTCCCTGTGGGGAGGGCAAGCTGAGTCCTAAGAGGGCTCCCGCAGGGATGGCACCCAGGGCCTCCTAGGGGCTGGGCCAGCCTCGCGGGCCTGGCAGCGGTGCTTCCCTGTGGCAGCGCCCAAGGGACCTGGTGGAGCCGCCCTGTGGCCCAGAGTCTGATGCCCCTGGCTTCCGTGGCGTGGGGGCTGCAGAGACGGCCTCTGTGAGCCTGGACCGAGAGGGTCAGTCTTGGCCGCCTCTGCCGCCCCCACCCGGGCACTCTTACCCTTTTGTTCCCCTGAACACAGCCGCCATCACAACCGGCCGTGGGTGGGCGGGTGCCAGGGTGGGTGGCTCATAAACCGGCCCCTGGAGGTGGGGCTTTTGGCAATAGTCAACTGCCAGGCAATGGGACCCTGTTTCCCGGGACCCTGATGTGAGCTGGCAGGGGCACAGGGCCAGTGCTTGGCTGAGCTCTGCGGGGCGGGCGAGGGCTGGCCCAGGAGCCAAGCCTCTCCCCGCGTCCGGCCCTCTCCCTTCGTGTCCGCGTGTGCCAGGTAACCCGTCTGCCACTGTGGCTCAGCCCAGCCCCCACACTGACTCCTGCGAAGACCTGCCTGGGGCGTCAGACTCAGCTCACCGTGTGCTGGTCTCGGCTCTGCCCCCAGAGCCTTGTGACTCAGGGACTCAGCCCCAGAAAGCCGCCCGGGTAGCCTTGCGTCAAGACCCTTCACGCGCTCCCCAGGGCAGGTGGGGGGATCCCAGGGGCTCCCCAGGCCCTGTGTCTGCCCGTGACCCTGAGTCATGCCTCACCCTACCTTCCGGGTCACAGGGAAGGAAGTGTGGGCAGGCAGGGCGGGGGAGCAAGTCAGCTGCTCCCTTGAGGGCTCGTCAGTGGCCTGTCAGGAAGCAGCATGCACACTCCAGTTCCCACTGTCCGGGCACACGGGCGGTGCTTGGTGCCACTGCCCACAGCCCACAGTGCTCAGAGGACCTGGCTTCCGAGGTCCCACTGCTGCCCAGGAAGCCCCTGGACAGTCCCCCAAGAAGGGGCTGGGGGCAGCAGCAGGTGACCCCCCGGGCCCATCTCCCCACTGCTGTGCAGGACTACTGAGCACAGGCTGAGCCCACGGCACTGGAGCACCTGTGGCTCCATACCCCCAAACACCCGCTGGAGCCCTGCAGAGACTCTAGCTAATGTGCCAACGCTGCTTCCCGTGGCTGCTCCGATGGCCCGGCCTCACCCTCAGACTCAAGAGCCCCTCCCCTGCCTGCAGCTGCTGTGCCTCCCTCCCTCCCCTCCCCCCCCCCCCCGTCTTACCCCCAGTTTTATATACCCCACAAGTCTCTACCGGCTCCTGCCTGAGGCCCTTGATACTGGGGCATCTGTGAGCAGAGATGTTGTCAGGAGCTCAATAAAACACTGCAAAGGGGCGTGATCTTGGCAGCGTTTGCAGAGCAACCAGAGCTGGGGACCTGGACATGCCCTTGGCTGGTGCGTGCCAGCTGTGGGTGAAGAGCTGGCACTGCCCAGGCGGTGTTTCCAAAGGAGGAGAGAGACCCCAACCTCGGCAGTCCTGCCCGTCTCCTCTTCAGTTCATTCTTGATTTTGCACTTCAGTTAAGAACTTAATTCCTTCAGCAGGGACCCGCCTTTAACACAAAGCAAACGGAGATGGAGTGTCCAGCCGTCTGTAACAATCAAAGGGCTAACAGCAGCAGCCCGTCGAGTACCCGCTGAGGGTGGCACGGCTGAGTGTTTGCTTAATGCGTGCAGAGTCCTGGAGAGAAGCAGGAGTGCCTGAGGACCGGTGGCACTCCCCAGGGGCGCCCTCTTCGCCAACTGGCTCCGAAGTATTTTCTTATTTCCAAAGAGCAATTTGATTTGCGGAAGGACCAGGCCACGGTCCCGGCAGTGTTTCCACGTCGATGTTGCTCTGACTTTAGCGTGTCCTGGGGGCTGGTGGCCTGACCCAAGTCCCTCCAACGCTTCTCCCTGGCTGTAACCCACAACCCTTCGGGTGACAGACACCCGCCCCCTGTCTTTCCTGTGCATGGGTGTCACAGATGCATGGTGAAGACTGAGCAGGAGATCCGGCCTCTGGGAGCCCTCAAGCCTCGAGGACAGTGAGCCAGAGGCTGTGAGAGGCATTGGCAGGAAGTGCACGTCACTGAGCTTGTTCTGGTCACCAGGCTGTGCCCTGGGCCTCCCAACAGAGGCACTTGTCCTGGCCAGGGGCCGCACCAGAGACTGGCCTTGTCCTGTGCGGGGCTGTGTTCCTGACACCCACTTACTGGGTGCCCGCCCCCGCAAGGAGCGAGGCCCTTACTCAGGGGTCACTGCAAAGCCACTGGGGAGGTCGCTCAGAGTGCCCAGGGTCTGGCCTGCCATATGCTCATGCCCAGAGAGAAACAGCTGGCCGGAGTGAGGGTGTCTCTGCCTCAACTTCCTGGGCTTTGGGCAGCCCCAGAGGGCTGAGATGCTCGGGCTGGGCACCCCTCTCCCTGCAGGAGCAGCCCCTGACCTGCACGCGGCATCCTGGGCACCATGGCTGGCCTGGGTGGCTTCTGTCCTGTGTCATTCATC